CTGCTCAGGCTAAGTCGCCTTCCCTCTCTGTGTAAGCGCCTGGCCGACTGCCTGACACCCACACACCCTCACAAACAGTTACACACACACTTCCTCCAGCGACTCCTGGCTCTCTGCCACTCGCCCCGCTCCAGGCAGGACCACAACCATCTGCCGGCACGGCCCTCCGTCTCTCTCTCTCTCTCTCTCCTCCATTCATCCCATTGTTACCACATTGTCCTCTGTTCGTCTCCCTCTGGAGGCTTCACATCTCTGCTGCCCCCCTTTTATTGGACATTTCTATCTTTTTATTCTCGCTTTAGTTTATTTCCTCTCTCTCTTTTTGTCGCTTCCACCGAGCATCCACTCTGCCCCATCATGTGGCGTAGCTGTGTATTGTTTCCGTGTACAGTAGCCAGCGCTGACGTCAGGAGGCGGCCCGATTAAAGCCGTCCTGGCCGGCTTCCTGCGTCTGGCCGGGCGGCTCTCTGGCCTTTCTGCCCCTCTGGGAGTTTTAATACTCGCTAATCGATCACTTTGTGCCAGCAGAGGTGATAATGTGGCCAAACCCTAATTGTTGTAGCTGTAAATGAAGAGCAGCGTTGTGCAGGACTTAATTTCAGTCGACTGACTCGCAGCCCCGTCCTCAGGGTTCCTGTGCAGTTTGGAGGAAAGACTGGAATTGGTTTCAGTATTTTCCTGCTCTGGATGCTTATCATTTTTTAATCATAATAAGTATGATTAAAACATTTTTTTGGTATTTATTACCTGTTCCACAGTTTAAATGTTGTGTCCTTCCTCCCATTCATACCGTCATCATTTTCTAAGCTTTTTTACGCCCTTTTATGCTTCCTTATTTCCTTCGTTCCTCCCTTACAGTGCACGCTTCATTTTGTCATTTCTTTCTTTCTTGTGTTCTCTCTTCTCTCCTACTTTCCTCATGTTCCTCCTTCACCTTGTATCCTTCCATCCTTCCTCTTGTATTTCCTTCTTTTCTTTCTTTCTTTAATGTCCACCACTTCTTTCCCTGCTTCCTTCCTCGTGCCCATAATACCTTCTTCATGTCTTTCTTTGTACATGTCCTCATGTTTTTGCTTCCTCCTTTCTTTTCTCAGTTCTTCATTCATTCCTTTTTTGTCTTTTATTAATTGAATCATTTTTTCATTTATTTATTCCTGGTTTTCTCCTCCTTTCTTTCAATCCTTCCTTTCTCATGCATTTATTTGGTCCTTTCTTCCCTTGATCGTGACCTTCCTCACTTGTGAACTACCTCAGTTTCATCTGTCTTACTGTTTTCCCTCCCTCTTTTCCTTCTTTTTTCTTTCCTTCCTTCTCTCCTGCTGCCATCCTTCCTTCAATCCTTACTTCCTTCTTTCTTCTCTTCCCTGCTTCCTATCTTATCCCTCCTTTCTTCTTTCCCTCCTTTCTTCTTTTTTTCTCCTTTCATCCTTCCTTACTATTTGCCTCCTTTCTTTTTTCTTCCTTCCTTCTTTCCATTCTTCAATCCTTCTTCTCTCCCTTAGTTCCTATCTCACTCCATCCTTCCTCCCTCCCTTCCTTCCTTCTTTCCTTTCTTCTGTCTTTCTGTCCTTCCTTCCTCATATACTTGCTCTTGTCCTTCCCTTCCTGTGTCCCTGTCCTTTCTGTTTCATTTTGATTAAATTGTGTCCGTATTTGTTATTTTCTTTTTCTCCTGTATACTTTTTCCCCTTTTTCTTTCCTTCCTTCTTTGGTCAGCCCTCTTGTTCTCCTCTCCTTCCTTCCTCTCCTTCCTTCCGGTTTTCTGTTTTTGCGGCTCTTTTCGCTCCTCTCCAGCCTAATAAAAATTCCTCAGTCCTCCGGTCTCAGTGTGTCAGGCGGCGCTTTAATACCGCTCTTATGAAGAGAGATACGGCGAGAGGAACCCAGGGGAATCGGCGAGGCGGGGGCGCGTGGCGACGAGGACGCTCTGTGGAGGATAACGGGGGGGAGGGAAGCGGGCGAGTCTGGAAATTCAATTATAAGTGTGCCCTGGCCGTGATTCCAGTGGTATTAATGGGTACAGCAGAGCGGGAAAAGAGATAGAGATGGATGAAGAATGAGGGGAGGGAGAGGAAAAAAAGAGGATGAACAGAGAGGAATGGAGGAATGCATTGAAGTGAAAATGGGAAGATGATGCAAGGTCAGTGCTTGTGTGTCATTATATCTTCATCTTAAGGAAGCTGCCAGTGAAGCAAGCTGCCAGATAACACACAATCACCTTATTATGAGGCTGTGTTCTTATTTAAACGTTTAAATTACCTGACTTGAACCTAAATTGAATGAAATATGTCAAATCGTTGCTGAAGCCCTGATGAGAGGGAACCCGAGTCGATGTAAATCTCCCTCTGTGATCAGGGAGGTCCAGGTTAGAGAGAGATGTCAGAGCTTTTAAAGTGGAAATATGTTCTGAAGAAATGGCCAGACCTGTTTTAGATAACCCCGCCATTTCTTCACTGTAATCAAACAGTGATTACTTCCTCAGATAAGGCTTATTCACTGTAGCTTTAAGAGCAAAGCAGGCGAATACCATTTTAGAAACCCTTTAAATCACTTACAGTCTGTAAAAATGACCAAACTCCATATTTAAAATGGAGAGTGTGAACCATTGGGGGTTGTGCTTCGTTTTTCCACATACGTCTTCAGTTTTGGTGGAATTTGCACTTGAGGTTAGATTTGAATAATTTAAAACCCAGATTAGCAGATGGTGTATTTTTAATTTACCACATTTGTACATAAACCATTAAATGCATTAAAAAAAGAATAGTTTGTCATTTTTACAACCTTTTCTTTCCAGTTTTATTTGTGCTTGGAGCTGCAGATAGTAATATTTATTTTCAAGTTGTGATAGAAAAGCCTCCAGCTCGAATCAAATGTTTGCTCATAATTCATCCAGAGATGGAAAAAAGTCAGGAGAGTTGGTACCTGAGACCTATAAAACCGGCACCCTGCCTAGAAGTTAAAACACTGTTTGGTAAGTCCGGTCGGATTGTGATTCCACAACAGTAAACACACAGCAAACAGGCACATGTAGCAGTTCTCTCTTTTTGTCCAAAGAACCGGAGGCTGGTTTATATTATTTAGGACGCACAGTTTTATAAAACATAGTAGTAGTAAATGGAAGCTGCTGAAAGTCTCACCTTTCTCAGTCCTTATTTTACTTGTTGCAGTTATGTTGTATATTTTATTAATGTAGCGGTCTGCCATAGCATTTAATTCCTGTGTCCATCTATACTTTCTCTTCAATCTCCAGATGTGGTGATTGGGAAGAAAGTCATTCATTTGGCTCAGACACTGAGAAAAGTAGAGGAATATTTGGAGAGGACAATAATGTGAGCCACAGAGGTTTGAAAGTAAAAGACTTCAGAAAACAAAGCTTTTTCTTAGCTGGGAAACTTTATGCTCACAAACGACCCATTCTTACCTCAATAGTTTGGCAGCTAACAGTGTTACATGTGGGGCATGAACTGAGTTATGCCCTCATCTCTCAGTACTGGGTCGTTTCTTATCTTTTATTCAAAAATGTAGTTGCTTCATAACTCTGGAGCAAAACTCTGTTTTGGTGGGTGTGGAGAAAAATGCCCCTCTTACTCAATTATTATCATAAACCTTACCTCTTTTTCTTGGCTAGAGGATATTTGGGTAAAGTAAGAACCCTCACTCAGTGGCTTTCTGTGTTCTGAGAACACATCCACTGGACATACTCCTGCTAGAAAGGTCTTTTTTTGTTGTTTTTGTCAAGAAAAGAATTTATTTTCTGGTCATACCAATTCTTTGAGTGATAGTGAAAATCCAAAAGATCTTTCATGCCAAGAAAGTGTTTAAAAATGACTCAGCTGCTTTAAAAATCAGAAGAATTTCCGATTGCAGTTCATGTTTCACACTTTTTCTTTTACTTTTAATGTAAATCTGAAGCATTTGTTCATAAAGAATGCGCTTTATGCTCAATTCTTCTTCATTCAGCCAGTGACACGTTACTCTCTAGTGAAGCCTAGTGTTCAGGAGGGGAACCGCAGCGACAGGTGAATCAGTCACTGCAGTTTGCGCTGAGCGTTTGATTCTGAAAGAACCTTGAAGACGGTTCATTGCCTCCTTCGAATGCACAAAACAGTGAAAACAATGAATTGGCCTCGTCTGCAGCACGACTTTCCAGGAAAACCAACATGCTACTGTACATCGAGTACACATGAGTTTGACTCTTAACACAGTGATTCACATACACAACAGCAACCTGATGATGCAGAGCTGCAGGACCGTGTCTAGACTAGTAGTTCTCACCTCCTCCTCTTCTTCTGTCTGGCTCAGAGATCTGGTGCCAACACCGGTCGCACACTCAGGCTCGAAGAGAAGTGTTTAAGAAATGTTTGCTCAAGAGTCTGTTAGGTGGCACAGCTTATTTATTTGGTGCATGTTCTCTATCTGTCAAGCTGAGATTTAACACTTCCTGGGGGAGGGGACGTGGCCTGTGAACGTTTTGAATTTCCTTTGCAGTTTCTGCCGTGGTTGCTCGTTCACTTTCTCGAAGCTCGCATCTTTTTTTTCCCGGCTAGAGGATATTTGGGTAAAATCGCTCACTTCAACGTGTGCGATTTCTAATATATTATCTAATCTAACATTAAGCAGACTACACTGAAATCGGTTTGTTGGTTGTGATGAAACAAACCGATGGAAGCGGCTGATGAGATTAAAGACAGCAGCTTTGAGTCCACAGAATTCGTTCCAGCCACAAACTCATTAAAGGTGTCATAAAGGGAACTAATGAAAATCATGACCGGTATCATTACAAGTCCACAGGAGTCCTCTTGTCGCTCTCCTTGGTGAGCCACAGAAGAAAGGCGGCTAAATTAATGTTCTCTCCAATAATGTTACGAAACCCACCACTGTCCTTTAAGTCGTGGCCGTCCTCCTCTGTGTGCAGTGCCAGCTAAATTAAAGTCCAGGCCAGTGCCGTGCGCCGTTGCGCAACCGTTTACACTCTGTCTTTGTTTTCCTGTCATTGCCAGGACGACAACTCCATGTTCTTTCAGTTTGGCCCCTCCATCGAGCAGCAGGCATCTGTCATCCTCAACATCATGGAGGAGTACGACTGGTACATCTTCTCCATCGTCACAACGTACTACCCCGGTTACCAGGACTTCGTCACCAAGGTAACGCCGAGGATCATGAATGCACAGTATTAACACTCCCTTGATCTTTTTATTACTTTGTCTAATATATAATGAGCTTTAAAGTATTTTAGTGAGACGATATGTCACATGACAAGCTCAAGTCCCTGTGACCAAATTTGGTCCATCATTGCTTTTTCTGTGGCCTTTTATATTCTAGATGCTAAATTTCTTCAACCAATCACTCCGGTTTTTCACAGTTCCCTGGAAATTCACACAAAATCAAGAGATCCTCACATTTTTTTCAAGCTATTTGTGAGCTAGCTTTGAGTTTGCTGAAAAATTTCCCCAAAAACACCTGCAGGTGGCATTATTTCTTACTTTTACGACACATTTTCCTCCTCCTTACTTGAGATCCAGCTATAGTTTGTGATCGATATGATGAGTAACAAAAAAAAAATCTAATTTTATACATCTATAAGTGTAAATATTGCAAAATTCCTTACAAATATTTCTAAATTAGAACCATAAAATCTGCGATTTTGACTGCAAAAAGAACCACCAAAAAAATTACAACATTCTGGAGGGACTGTAAAATCTTATTTAATTAATAAAACAAAATAAAACATGTTCGTCATTTTGGTTTGGGGTACTTTTGCCCCTTTTCAGGTTTCATTTTGTACCTAAAACTTGTCATTTTGTGCCTTCCTACTTCTATTTGCTACACATAAATGTCTTTTCATTAAATATGGATGATTGTAAAAGTCCTAAAATTTCATGTGGATTCTAATATAATCTAATGTAATTATATTAAATGCTGTTTATTTCGACTCCGATCCGGTCCAGCTCACTGCTATGAAATACGGTGAATTAAAACACCTAATCAGACTGAAGGAACCCCTCAGGGAGATTCTGCTGGCAGATATTATTTATTGGAGTTTATTATAACCATATTTCCTTACAGCAGACTCAGTAGATTATAGAAAATGAAAGGAAAATGTTGGTCCAACTTGTGAAGTGCAAGGATTTTCTACCTTCCACTTTACATTTATGCACTACTTTGTTTTGATAATTTACATAAAATACAAAATGTTTGTTGTTTGTACTGTGACAAGATGTGAAAAAGGTTGAAGCTTTTGCGACGTATTCCCGGATTTTCTTTAAAAATAAGAAATCTTCAAAGCAGCCAGATGTTTGTTTGGCGCCTGTCAGCTGGTCTCTTGTGATCGTCACCTGGAAGACTTTTCAACCCTCATGTTTGCCATGTAGAAATATAATTAGCATCATTTCTCACTTTCTTAATGCATCTAACACATTTCTTAATGTGGCTTCAAAGTGTTGACATACAATAAATCCACCTGCTTAAAACTGAGGCATTACCATAATGATGTCTCAAAGTAACAACAAGTTTGCACACACAAAATAAAAAATATATCAACATTTTTTCCCCACACAGTCAGAAGTTCAATCAGATGAAACTTTTCTTTTGGGCTTTCCCTCATTTCTTAGAGATAGTAATCATTATCATTATGTATGTAAACTTCTCATTTTGAAGACGATAATAAAATCTTATTATTGTCGCATTCAGAAAATATAAGTAATTTTGGTAATCCTAACTAACCTAAAACGACGGACGTTTGGTCTGATTTAACTTCAAACCGTTGGGAGAAAAAGGTTTGGGTGTTTTTTTATTAGACGCATATAAACTTCTGTCTTCAACTGTAAGACATAAATACATCCCAGGAAAAATTATGGAAATGTAACTATTTTCTACTTTCATATAAGTGTCAAAACAGTGCAAAACAAATATTTGTAACCAGTATTCAGGTTATGTTCAGCTTTGACTGATTAGACTGAGTGGCTCAAGAATAATATTGGTCCCAATAACATGAAAGATTTTTTTTTTTATAACCTAAATTTTAAAACACACAAATGCAACACACAATGCCCCCGCCAAAGGGGTCGGGTGCATTGTGTG